GCTCAGTACAGTGACTACCTCAATATTTACAGGGAGATTAGATCCCGGGTGGGTCAGACATGGTTCACGACAGTGACTCCCGCAATGTTTACAGGGCGATTAGATCACAGGCGGGTCAGACATGGTTCAGGACAGTGACTCCCGCAATGTTTACAGGGATAAACACATGCTGGTTAGTGCTTACACAAATGCCCCTGGGAAATTACAGATTTAAATTCAATTTACTCTGAGCTGAAGATGTGAATTTAAATTTGAAGAGAGAGTAGGGGGAGAGCAGGGGGGGAGGGGGGGGGGGGGGGGTCGAGAGAGGGAGAGAGAGAGACTATATCACAGTAACCATGGTAATCTATTCAGAAGAGAATGTCCCTGAAAGAATGTAAAGGGTATCTTCTACCCTTGTATCTGTCACTTTGTTGATCCAACACTAAAGTGATTGAAAAGCACCTCACATTCAACACAAAGAGCCTATTCCCTCTTTATCGGATTAGAAAAGTGCTATTCACAATTTTTCCTTTAAGAGGAATTTGGTAAAATTGTCTCAGCCGAAATGTAACATGTCGCCTTCTCAATTTTTTTTATCTTACAGAGGCTTATGATGTGTTGTTGCCATGGAGGCCAAAGGGGCCATAAACAGGATCCTTGGTGGAAGGGAAGTGGTGATCAGCAGGATAACTGCTCTAGTTATTTGGATTTAGTCCTTTCACTAAGTCTTTCTCTGGTAAAGCCTTAAACTGGTTTAAAATAAATTTCATCATGGTTTTAGTGTTACAGTTATATATGCACAAAGTCCTAACGCAGTGTTTCATTAACCTTTTTGGGTTGTGACCCACCAAATGCCTTTAGAATTTAGACCAGATAGACAAAACAATGTTTATACAACTGGGAAATCCAAGGGAGACTATAAGCCCCTCCGGGGGTTTTGACCCTCCAATTGGAAAATGCTGTGCTATAGAAGCTTTTCTTTGCTCCTTAGCTGGCACCAAATGCAGCCAACTCTCAAAGCCTGAAACACCCGCTCAAGAAAATCTATTTTTTTCTGCTCTCTGAGAATGGAACCTTTCATTAAAATATAGATGATGCTATGTTTCACCCATTATATAATCATATTTATGAATCAATTATTAGTAAGCCTAATGTTCTATGTGCAGGTACAGGAGTAATGTGATTTTTCAGCAGTGAAGGTTTCTTTGAATCGCCAGTTTGATGGAATTCCATCCTACTGTCTCTCGGGAAGGATTTGTTTGTCTGGACAGATGAATGTGTTGCAGCTGACCATAAAACCATGCCTCTGATGAGCCCTGTCATCATTACTAAGAAATGCAGGTATTGAGATTGAATATTGATTTTGCATTTTCCTCATCAATCCCATGCTGCTTCAGTTCAGACGCTTACATTTAAATTACATTTTATTTGTTTGAGGCCGTTTTATATCATGCAGAATACTGCCGTCGGGGTGAGCGCTGCTCTTGGGATATATTGTGGAGTTATTATTGACACCCTTGATAAAAATGAGCAAAAATGGCTGTATAAAATAAATAATTATAATATTGTTCGCTCCAAAAAAAATAGGAAATTATGTTATTTTATACTAATACAATTGCTCAGAGAAAGAGATTTAACAAGTAATACTTTTTTGCTCAAAAAGGTAGGGGTCAAACTTATTGACACCCCTAAAGATTCTTATAAATAAATTAGTAAAAAGTGTAGTATCCCATTTGGTTCCATATTCCTAGCACACAATGACTACATCAAGCGTGTGACTCTACAAACTTGTTGGATGCATTTGCAGTTCGTTTTTGGTTGTGTTTCAGATTATTTTGTGCTCATTAGAAATGTATGGTAAATAATGTATTGTCATTTTGAAGTCACTTTTATTGTAAATATGAATAGAATATGTTTCATGTTTCAACACTTCTACATTAATGTGGATGCTAACATGATTATGGATAATCCTGATTGAATTGTGAATAATGATGAGTAAGAAAGTTGCAGAGGGTCAAAGATCATACCACCAAGACATGCTAACCTCCCCTGTTATTGGTAATGGTGAGGTTATCATTTTTATTTAGGGCAATTTTTGTGGGAATTACAAACGTTATACTGTGAGGGAAAAAAGTATTTGATCCCCTGTTGATTTTGTACGTTTGCCCACTGACAAAGAAATTATCAGTCTATAATTTTAATGGTAGGTTTATTTGAACACTGAGAGACAGAATAACAACAAAAAAATCCAGAGAAACGCATGTCAAAAATGTTATACAATGATTTGCATTTTAATGAGGGAAATAAGTATTTGACCCCCTCTCAATCAGAAAGATTTCTGGCTCCCAGGTGTCTTTTATACAGGTAACGAGCTGAGATTAGGTGCACACTCTTAAAGGGAGTGCTCCTAATCTCAGTTTATTACCTGTATAAAAGACACCTGTCCACAGAAGCAATCAATCAATCAGATTCCAAACTCTCCACCATGGCCAAGACCAAAGAGCTCTCCAAGGATGTCAGGGACAAGATTGCAGACCTACAAAAGGCTGGAATGGGCTACAAGACCATCGCCAAGCAGCTTGGTGAGAAGATGACAACAGTTGGTGCGATTATTCTCAAATGGAAGAAACACAACAGAACTGTTAATCTCCCTCGGCCTGGTGCTCCATGCATGATCTCACCTCGTGGAGTTGCAATGATCATGAGAACGGTGAGGAATCAGCCCAGAACTACACGGGAGGATCTTGTTAATGATCTCAAGGCAGTTGGGACCATAGTCACCAAGAAAACAATTGGTAACACACTACGCCGTAAAGGACTGAAATCCTGCAGCGCCCGCAAGGTCCCCCTGCTCAAGAAAGCACATATACAGGGCCGTCTGAAGTTTGCCAATGAACATCTGAATGATTCAGAGGAGAACTGGGTGAAAGTGTTGTGGTCAGATGAGACCAAAATCGAGCTCTTTGGCATCAACTCAACTCGCCGTGTTTGGAGAAGGAGGAATGCTGCCTATGACCCCAAGAACACCATCCCCACCATCAAACATGGAGGTGGAAACATTATGCTTTGGGGGGGGGGGGGGTTCTACTAAGGGGACAGGACAACTTCACCGCATCAAAGGGACGATGGACGGGGCCATGTACCGTCAAATCTTGGGTGAGAACCTCCTTCCCTCAGCCAGGGCATTGAAAATGGGTCGTGGATGGGTATTCCAGCATGACAATGACCCAAAACACACGGCCAAGGCAACAAAGGAGTGGCTCAAGAAGAAGCACATTAAGGTCCTGGAGTGGCCTAGCCAGTCTCCAGACCTTAATCCCATAGAAAATCTGTGGAGGGAACTGAATGTTCGAGTTGCCAAACGTCAGCCTCGAAACCTTTATGACTTGGAGAAGATCTGCAAAGAGGAGTGGGACAAAATCCCTCCTGAGATGTGTGCAAACCTGGTGGCCAACTACAAGAAACGTCTGACCTCTGTGATTGCCAACAAGGGTTTTGCCACCAAGTACTAAGTCATGTTTTGCAGAGGGGTCAAATACTTATTTCCCTCATAAAAATGCAAATCAATTTATAACATTTTTGACATGCATTTTTCTGGATTTTATTGTTTTTATTCTGTCTCTCACTGTTCAAATAAACCTACCATTAAAATTATAGACTGATCATGTCTTTGTCAGTGGGCAAACGTACAAAATCAGCAGGGGATCAAATACTTTTTTCCCTCACTGTAAGCCTTTTTAAACCTCAAATAGCCTACACTTGGAAATGTCCTGAAACAACAGGGTGATCAAATTAAGATCTAACATTTGTATGCCGGCTGTGTTCTGATAAAATGGGAACATTGATATTATGCCTAATATTGCCACTGTCTTTAGGCTACATCTTAGAAATGGGTTCATTTTAAGCAATATTATTACTGCATTCTGGTAGTCTGGACAATAGGCCTACATATTACTGACACATTTTATACAGAAACAGAAGGCAAAATTCAGCGTAGCCTACTGTTAGTGACATTTGGTGAAGCAGGCCTGCTTAAAATATGTAATATGCAATCATGTATTACTTAATTTCATTACGACTAAATTTAGGCCTAAAAAAGCAGTGATTGTGGTATAATGTGTATGTGGTATGAGTACGAGATTGATCTGATTATTGGTCATGAATTATTATGAGCTATGAGGCCAGTGAGGTATGTTTTGTGGCCGTGCGCGTAATATTTGTATAATCAGTCGACTGAATGGAGCGCGCTTGTTTCAGCACCATGGAGAGCGACGATTGTTATGGCTGAATGGTAGGCTATTCTCAAAAACAAGTCAATCTAATGTACAAATTACTTATAGCCCCTTGTAATAGACAGTTCTGTCATTTAATTGACATTGTCATCATATTAGACAGTAGAAATGCACAGGAAAACATTTTTTTTCCCTCTTTGTACTAGGCTATACATTTTGATGGTAGGGAGTAGACAGTGGGTTTTGTGATAGTGAATCCGTTTTGTCATCATGTTTTCAATCAGGGAAACTATCAAATGAGGTAACCATAGGAACCTGATATATTTTGGGAACTTGCAGTTATCATTTCATCATGTGTGTTGTTTCTGTCTCGTCTACAAGGTGTGCAGGTAGCCAAGCGGTTAAGAGCGTTGGGTCAGTAACCGAAAGGTTGCTATTTCGAATCCCGGAGTTGACTAGGTGAATAATATGTCAATGTGCCCTTTAGCAAGGCTCCTGTAAATCTGCTAAAATGGAAACAAAGTGAGATGGCCAGCGCCTACTGGTGTCTATATGTTTATGTCAAGTTGGGTTCCAACTGGGTGGAAGTGTGTCAGACATGCGCGCCGTGTGCGGGAATAGACCTGTGTTTAGAAACCCTAGTGTGTGCTTCGTGGGGCGGAAACACTTCACAGTGGCAACGAGTGGAGATGATGAGGAGAGGGGAGGGGAGTCGCGTCGGCTCTGCGTGTATCGGGGTTTGTCTAGGGGAGGCGCGGCGCACTCTGCCCTCTCCATACCGCCTATATGGATGACCACTTAAACCTAATCGACTCACCCTGCTCGGTGAGACAAAGAGGCAACAACGTTGAGAACCACGGTTACTTCGAGACGGAGAAGGGCCTCATGACAGTCGAGAACATGTTGGAGGAGTCAGTGGCGCTTTCGAGCCACCTGTCCGTGGATCGATATGAGCGAGAGGGCGGACGCGATTGCTGCGAGAGGGTGGTTATCAATATTTCAGGTTTACGCTTCGAAACTCAACTGAAAACTTTCAACCAGTTTCCGAAAACGTTGCTCGGGGACCCCAGAAAGAGGATGCGTTACTTTGACCCACTGAGGAACGAGTACTTCTTCGACAGAAACCGACCCAGCTTTGATGCCATTCTCTATTATTACCAGTCAGGAGGGCGCATCCGGAGACCTGTTAACGTGCCCATTGACATCTTCTCTGAGGAGATCAATTTCTATCAACTCGGGGAAGAGGCTATGGAAAAATTCCGAGAGGACGAAGGATTCATAAAAGAAGAGGAACGTATTTTACCCAGTAATGAATTCCAAAAGCAGGTTTGGCTTTTGTTTGAATACCCTGAAAGCTCTGGGCCAGCAAGGGGAATAGCTATCGTCTCAGTGCTTGTCATTTTAATATCAATTGTTATATTCTGTTTAGAGACCTTGCCTGAGTTTCGGGATGACAGGGAACCTGTCCCGTTAGCACTTACAGTCAATGGGACGGCCTCCTACCACGCAAATCCATTCACCGACCCTTTCTTTGTGATAGAGACACTTTGCATAATTTGGTTCTCTTTTGAGTTGCTGGTCAGGTTCTTCGCGTGCCCCAGCAAATCCACGTTCTCAAAAAACATCATGAACATCATCGACATTGTCGCCATATTTCCCTACTTTATCACTTTGGGGACAGAACTGGCTGAGAAGCAGGGTAACGGTCAGCAAGCCATGTCCCTGGCCATTCTCAGAGTGATAAGGCTCGTGAGAGTCTTTCGCATCTTCAAGCTCTCCAGGCACTCTAAGGGGCTACAGATTTTAGGGCAGACACTAAAGGCCAGCATGAGGGAACTTGGACTGTTGATATTTTTCCTTTTTATTGGAGTTATCCTTTTCTCCAGTGCTGTTTATTTTGCCGAGGCTGATGACCCCTCCTCCAGTTTCACAAGCATCCCAGATGCGTTCTGGTGGGCTGTGGTCACCATGACTACTGTCGGCTATGGAGACATGCACCCTGTGACAATTGGTGGCAAAATTGTTGGGTCATTGTGTGCTATTGCCGGAGTGTTGACTATCGCTCTCCCTGTGCCGGTTATTGTCTCCAACTTCAATTACTTTTACCATAGGGAGACTGATGGAGAAGAGCACGCACAGTACTTGCATGTCAGCAGCTGCGAGCACCTACACTCAGCAACAGAGGAGCTGAAAAGGACTCGTAGCACGTCATCTCTGAGCAAGTCAGAATATATGGTTATAGAGGAGGGCATCAACAGTGGGTATAAACAGCCCAACTTCACCAATGAGAATAACCAAAACTGCGTGAACATCAAAAAGATATTCACGGACGTGTAAATGCTTTCACTTTATGTGATAGAGAAATAGAGTTGCGACTACTATTTTTTCTATGATAGCTAGCTAATCGTGATGTGTCGGTGCATATCTGTCAGGTGGAGTGTGCTAGTGTGCCACACAGTTTGCCAAACGTACTGTGATCTTTCAATTCGTCCTTGAGTCCAAAACAGGTGTTGATGTTCGGTAGTTCGGTAGGTTGTACGTGTTGCATATTTATTCCCGAATCGAAACAGTGTTGTCGTGTTTTTTGAGGGGAAAAGTTCGTTGGCTTATCAGTGTTCAGTCTTGTCATGAATTGCAATATAATCTACAATGTCTGTATGACGTTGCTTACATCGGATGATGACACACATAGGCTATGCTTGAATGGGCAACCTATGCGTAATGGAAATATCATGGACATACAGTATCATAGCCTACGAGAGCAGGCTTTTAGCATTACAGCCTATACCAAATAAAACAAAAAAATGAAAGTATCAAGACTCGGGAATGTCTTTGATCAAATATCTCCATATAATTTAAATATATCATTACCCATTAAATGGGCTAAAATATGTGTATAGCCTACAATTGATGGTGGTACTAATCCTTGGTAATTAATGTATCTGATCAAAATTCCATCCAAAGACGTCATCAGGACTACATGGAATTTATTTTCCTACAAAACATGACTTCAAGACTATTTCCATCATGGAGGATAGTGTGAGCACAATGATGAAGACATGGACACGTTGCATATAGTGCGCGTGGATGGAAGAATGAAGAACAGCAAAGTCCCGCCTCCTGGATGCCACTGAGCCTTGTGATGCAGTCTCCATGACGACTACAGTTTCCTGGGTAACCCCCGTTAACGTTACCATGGTATCCTCTGCGTTTCCACAGAAACCCTCCAGATGGATCAGCAGCCCTCCTTGAAAGAGAGAGCAGAGCCCTCCTTGAGTCTTAATATGATAAACAGGTAGGCCTAATGAAACAACTGTTTATATATATGTGTGTACAGTGTATATATATATATATATATATATATATATATATATATATATATATATATATATGCTGTTTGTGTTTGTGTGTATATATATACAGTATATATATACGCACGCATGCACACGCACACACACACAAACACACACACACACAAAGTATATCTATATCTATATCTATATCTATATCTATATCTATATAACTTTACAGAATGGAGGCAGTTTTTTCTGTAGCCTATATCCGAGACATCAAATCAATGATAGCCACAATAAATTATTAAATACATCAATTAAAATGTTTTGGGTTGTGTTAATGCAAAAATGGGATCAACATAACATCAAAGCATAGCAAAATCTCAACATTTCAACAGCCCCATTCTAAGTCTTAGCTATTTATTATATACCTATATTTTATTATCTGAAAACATGCAATCGCTCATCACAATTTCTTGTCATTACTAGAGGCCTATACTCGATATCTCTCCGAGTTGGCATGCCAACTGGGGCTGATGTCCAGCCAAATTATTATCCCTTGTTCCTCTCACACGGCTGTGAACTGTCCCTCTCACAACAAACAGAAAAGCCACACAAAGGCCATGCCAAAATAGGAATCGGCAATGGACATAGACAACCCATGCGACAGACAACAACATACATGACTATAATGTGTAGCAAATAAATAATACACGAAGACATAGCGAATGTAAATAATACATAAATAGATATATACATAAACACATAAATACAAATTTGTATAAATATTAATGTTTTTTTGTTTTTTTTACAATTATTATCCATGTCTGATAATTAAGCCCTTATAACAACAATGAAGATGAGTAGCCTGATTATACTGATTAATGATTCATCTTTAAAATACTATTATTGAGGTCTTTAGGAGACTTTTGGAAGATAAAATGTGGGAAGGACAGTGCTTGCACGCTGTAATGTCAACTAAATAATGTCAACGAAATATTGATTTGTTTTTCACTCGCGCAGGGCTGGGAGCTGTATGGCTGATCACTTGCACCGTACTAGAGCTGCCTCCCGTAGGGTGGTGTCCCAGGGCTGTTCTGCTCTTCCATCCCTGTTAGGATGAATCACAATGCACCTCGTCCTTCCATCAAGGCTGTTCAGACCCAAGTCACCTACATTAAATCAGTTACGCATCATTTAGATTTAGTTAAAATCTAAATGGACATGTCGGGGCCTAACTATCTCTGTAAAAATACATTATCCTAGTTGAGAAACCATTTGACATTTGAAAGTGATAGTGCTGAATGTGGGAGAAAATCGTAGTAGCCTAATTAATTGGTAGTTAAATGGGCTAGAGCAGAATTAGCTTCACAGATCTCTTTTTATATCCTTATAAATTTACCCACTGCTACTCTGAAAAGTCCATGCCCAAAAGAAAGTTCAGTGCTGCCCTCAAGTGAGATAACTTATGTAGGACAGGGAGGATACAAGCTTGTTATGTTGAACATTATGATATGTCTAGACTTTTTTATTGTATAAAGTTCACATTATGATATCAAACATGCATCATTTAATCAAATATGAATGAACTAATAATGGCAGAATATGAAAGGATTTATGACACTCCTAAATCACATGTCATTTCCCCCTAGACCCCAGATGGATATTTTCACTTGGCCAGATCAGATAACCTCACCTCAACCTGCCGACAACCATCGCCCAACCATCACTGCTGCAGCAGAACACATGCACTTGAAAGGTAGTGTATATCTCTCTCTTATTCTTATTTTTGTTATGTGATGGATTATGTCTGCATGTCATTGAAATATGTGAAAGCATGAGATAACTTCTTGTCTTGAACATATTACATAGTCATAAAAACTGGCTGAGTTTCATCCCAAAAAATAAAAAATGTAGTACATTAATTTGACCCACCCATAATACAGTGTCTCAATCTCTTACCTCCACAGGTCTGGAGGAGAATTACCCTGACACATACCAATGGACTCAAGCTCCAGCAGCACAACACCCCACCAGCTGAAATACATCAAGATATAGAGGATCTCTATGGCTCCACCATCTCCCACACATACTGTACTGGCCTAGAGAGAGACCCACAGAGGCAAGGTGCCATGGACACAGTGTCTTCAGCTAAGACCTCACCACACCTCCCATGGACTGTCTATCAGAGAAAAGGAGTATGTGATGTACTCAGTGCTCGTGCTCGTTCTCTCTCTCTCTCTCTCTCTCTCTCTCTCTCTCTCGCTCTCTCTCTCTCTCTCGCTCTCTCTCTCTCTCTCTCTCTCTCTCTCTCTCTCTCTCTCTCTCTCTCTCTCTCTCTCTCTCTCTCTCTCTCTCTCTCTCTCTCTCTCTCTCCCTCCCCCTCCCCCCTCCCTCCCTGAGATCTGGAATAGAATCATAGAGAGGCCAGTACAAGAAGTCACACTGTGTATGTGGCCCATCATAGCTCCCCAGTCCCCATCAGGCTTGTGGTTGGTCCATGGCCGTCCCCAGTCCCCATCAGGCCTGCGGTTGGTCCATGGCCATCCCCATCAGGCATGTGCTTGGTCCATGGCCGTCCCCAGTGGAGTAGAGGACTGAGATCATGTTTTTCAGCATCACAATGTATTCATGATGTGTTGTCGTTGTCCCAGGACAAAATCAATTCAGTAAGCTTTTGCCTGTTGAGTGAAAATATTGCAGTGTAATAAGTTGGGATTGTTTATCTGAAGAGGTGAATGTCATTGGGGAAATGTATTTATCACGCACGCACGCACGCAGGCATGCACACACACACACACACACACACACACACACACACACACACACACACACACACACACACACACGATTGCTTCCTCCTCTCTTTCCCTTCTTCCTCCTCTCTCTTCTCCTCTCTTCTCCTCTCTTTCCTCTATGTCATCCTCTTTTCCCAATACAATATAATAACATGACGTCACAGCTGCAGGTGGCTTATCAGAAGTGCTGTGTGGCTTTGTTCTCTCTGGAAATAGGGTCCACTCTTCATTTCTCCCCACTTCATCCTTTCTATCTTTGGGAAAATGAAAACTTGTCTGTGAGTTACCCTTAGCTATAAATCACTTGTCAGTGGAGCTCAACTTGAATGCTTATGTGGAACACCTAAAGCTGCAGTTCAGTGCACCTCCCAGGAAAACAAAAGGCATTTTTGTATTCTGTATGTTTAATACATTAGATGAGGCATGTCATTCCATTTCTATTTAGTCAACTGCACATAATTACATACTGTACATTATATTTGTTTGTGAGTTTCAGTGTGTGTCTGTTTGTGTGTGTGTGTGTGTGTGACTGTGAAAGTGTGTGACAGTGTGTATGTGTGAATGTGAACATTAGTACAGACAGTATATATGTACGTTTGAGCGCAGCTGTAAAATGTAGGTCTCAGCTGGTACTGTACACCTGGCTGACTGCACTCTGGAACCCTCGGCATCAGAGTGCTGAGAAACCCTTCTCAGGAGAGGCACTCTCTCTGTTGCCACTGCGTTGGAGGAAAGACCCCCCCCCCCCCCCCCCCCCCCCACACACACACACACACACACACACACAAACACACCATCCATATAATGGATTAGCTGCACTTAAGGAAAACAAGCAGACATGTGTGTGTGGGTTTGTCATGCTCATCCAGAGGAGACGAGGAGACCCCAGGCATCCCCTCTACTCTCAGGCAGACATCCGCCACATGAAAGGAGTGAAGCAGTAGCAGCAAGCTATTACGATACAGGGGATGCAGCTGACATGCAGTGCATTCTGGGGCGAGAGAGAGGTATTTTATAGTACTACTAACTTCACCAATTGTATTGATGATTGTGTATGTCTGTAACGCTCCTTGTCTTAGCCCTAAACATTTTATAAAAAGCTATATGGCTGCGGACAGAAATATAGGACGCTTCAGACATGCTGCTATTATTACTCTGGGTGCAAACGGAAAACCATCCATCTACTCTTCAGAGGACGTCTAATGGTAGACCTGGGGGCTATTTATAAAGTTCACTCTTCTGGATC